ATACTTGTGTATAAGCAGATTGTGAATAACACCTTGCAAAACTTTGTACAACAGCAAGGACTTGTAAGTCTCTGAATTTGTATGTGTAAACTGGGCTTCTCACCTGTCATCTTTTCCAAATTTTCTTCTCCTTCATCACAAAACATCTGCTTGAGGGCTAGAAGCAAAGTGGAAGGGCAAAATCCACTTCTTTACCGTAAACATCCAAATTCCTGTATATGCCAGGAAAAAAGAACTGCCTTTGTATCTCAGGCTGAGGTCTCATTCTTTCCAGTGCCATCAAATGAACAGCTGTTGCTGTGGAGCTTGTCTAAAAACATCTCTCTGCATTCTGCTCATTCAGGTCTTTTATGCCTGCTGTTCCCATTATTGTGCTCTTTTTCCTAGTGTTGAATTTTCACTCGGACATTTATTGTTTTATCTCTACTCAAAGACACAATCAAATGCACAGGCAAAACCAGCCAGGGGCTGAATCATGTCTTTGCCTTTGCCATATTTTCAAATTCCAGCAGAATACTTTGATACCAAAATAGTCCAATGGCTGAAACACAGATTTTATGAAAGTTAAACATGAAAAAGAGACAGACTCATGTTGGTCTTCACTTACACCCTCACCCCCACATTCACACTCTATTCTCTTGAACCTTTCATGGATTTCCAGAGATGACTATTGTTCCCAGTATATCTCCTTCTCCAACACAGCGTCATTTAATTTGGTGGCCATAGAAGTACCATTTCTTATACAACTGCTTTTCACCTGCCACGTCACTGTTCAGGAGCTTGGCAGGAAATTGTAAAGGCTGGAAGTTAACATGATATTGCAGGGAAAAGAAGGAGATGCTTACAATGCAGGAAATGCCACTTGAAAGGCTGGATGAAGAAAGTTCAGATTATACTACAGAGGGACTTAATCTGTTTGGAAGTATCTGTATTTCAGGTGACACCTGCTCCCCATGTTTTCCTCAAAAAGTTCCAGATGGAGAAGGTCTGTTTGAGACTTATGTCCATTCCCTGGGCCATCCTTCCAGAAGAAATTAGAGGAACTTCTGGAAGAGCTCTTTGCCACCACAGGCAGAACTTTCCATTATACCGTGGGCATAATGGAATTTTCAAACATCTGGCAGAACAAAGAACAATTTTTCCTTTATTTAGTTTATAATTTCTGCCTGTGGAGCTTTTTGGTTGGACTTCATAGTCCCTTTGATGCCCTCCTTAGGACTGAAAACCATTCTGCCATATCCAAATCCCTGTGCTGAGTGTCTGTCAGCCCCATGCTTTCCCTAGCTGACTGGCACCTCCCTGTTGGCACTGTCAAGGTTCAGAGCCAGATGCCGACTTCACCCTTTACCCACCCATCCATGTCTTTAGCAAAGACACTGGAGTCTTTTTCTGACCATCAGTGGAAAAAAGTGGTGTAAGTCTGAAGGTGGAATTACTGCCCAAAAACTGGAGATCAGCCGAAGAACAAGTTTAGGCAAGTTAAAAAGAGGACTAGCAGAAAGAAAAAAGATACAGGAGCAGAAGCATTGTCTGTATGAGCTACTCCTCATTCTGTGCCATTTTTCTTGCATGTCACTTGAAAAAGTAAAATCAGAATCTGGCCAGTGGCTGCATGGAGCATGTGCATCCCTGGCCTTTCTGGCTCTTTGCTCCCATGAAGTGAAAAGAAATCCTTCCACCACCTGACCAAAGGGGTCAGGATAATCTCTTCTCCTGCATGGAGCCAATCCTGCTCCCCAGCCTCGGGGAGATGAAGCAGCACAATTAATAATTGTGATCAGCATGTTCCTTGTTTCCAAATACTGCATACAGGAAGGTATTTTGAGAGTATATGAGTCACTGTGGGATGCAGCGGAATATTTTAGCCTTGCATCTTGGAGGTACATTATTCATCTTCTATTGGCCTATAAAATATGCAGCCCAGAGATATCCTGAATACAGCCTGCAGAAGCTCAACTTGAACCTCTGGGGAAGTTCCTTGAAAGTATTTCTTAAAAAGACTTTTTTTTTTAGTTAAACAGAAGAAGACAATCCTTCCAGTTCTCCTTTCTCCTTCTTCCCCCATCCCCCCTCACTTTTCTGACTTACTTCCAAAGCCTCTGAAGAGAAGATTGGTTGATGGCTGGTATTTGCAAAAATCCCTGCTTTAAGCCTTGTAGCACCCAACCTTCATCACAGCCTGTGTCCCCTGCTCCTATCCAAAGGCTGCATTAAATTTTTATACTCATCATCTGGCTGCCAGCCACAGCCTTGCCAGAGAAGAGAAGTGAGTGGGCAGAGGTACTATAAAACTCTGCAGATAACACTATTTTGATCAGGAGGAGCACTAACTTTTGCAGCAACTTTCAAGCACATTAGAAACGGTTGAGACACTTGTTACTGAGACACATAGTTTGATGAGTCTGTAGTGAATTAAACTCACATTGGTAGAGCATTTGGGTCTTCATTCTTGTACCAGTCCTGGCTACACTGTTCTTTGAAACAGATGTTGCTGAAAAAGCTATGGAAAATTTGGTGTATCTGGGTGTGATTTGGCTCTCTGATCTACACAAGACGTTTCTTGACCTCATGGATTTTGCCAAAGCACAGACATTTCTCATGGAAAACTCAGCAGGATGTAATTTCTTTGTGTCAGGTTATGAAATGGGATGGTTGGATTAGTCCCAAAACCAACGCACTTTCTCAAAGTGATCAAAACCATCAAAGAGCTGATTCCTGCTAATAAATAAATAAATAAATAAATAAATAAATAATTTTAAAAAGAGAGAGATAATTAAGGAAAAACTGTTCATTATTTGCTAGATGCTAAACTATTACTTTTGGCCCTAAGTTCCATTTTGTTTGGTAAGTATTTTCAGATCCTTTCAGCTTAAACTTGCAGAATGCTATAATTTTCATATTAGAAAATTACATAGAAAATATCAAAGAAATTTTTAAAAATCAAAGAATTTTCTTATTACTTAGCAAATTCCTTCAGACAACTCTTTCACAGATGAAAGCTGGTTTCTGTGTGGTTCGTTTCTCCATCTCAATGTAAATCTTTCTGACAGGAATAAAGGAGAGCTATAAGATTGTCTTTCCCATGTGCCTTTACCAATGCAGTCTACAGTTAAAATTCCATGTAGGAGGGATTTAATTTTCCTAAATCACAAAATATGTGTTATGTTAAGAGGGAAAAAATGCACTCAGATTAGTTAATTTGTTGGAAACCAGAATTTCTGTGAAGGCACGGGTGTGTTCCCTAAGCAAATTCACTCTATATCTAATGTCTGGAGCTTCATAATTCAGAAACTTCATGGCAACACGTGACTAATTCAAGACATCTGGTTTTGGCTGGGTGAACATTTTAACAAGAAACTGGATTTTCACCATAGATCCAATGCTTTCACAAAGGTCAGGGCTCTCCTCAAAGAGTTCATCAGGGAAAAAAACCCTGTTCTTTTTGAGCAGGATTCTTGTTATGCTAAAGATCCTTTCAGGAAAAAGGCTACTTGTATTTGAAAAATTAGCCTTCTGAATCCTTTTGGGTCTTTGAACTCATTATTTTTGGTAAATACAACCTCTTCTATCGAAGCAATCAAGATATACTGTCAAGTTTTCAGATTATTTGACATTTTGACTAATGGTTTCTTTTCCCTTTGACTTCCCATCGATTTTTAGGTGAAGAAATACTGGTGTAGAACTTAACAAAGTTTCATTTAAAAGAGGTCATCCCAAATGTTTCAGATTTTTTCTTTACATAAAGAGACATTTCAGAAATGCCAATTTGAAAATGTTCTATCATTTTTAAACTTTTCCTTCATTTTGGGGAATTGAACCTCAGTTTATCCAAAAGTTCTGTTATATTCATTGCTGGGCACTTACCTCAGTCCAACTTCAGTAAACAGAAACTTTCCATATCAAGACTGGTTTTGTGGCAGACAGTGGGTGTATAAGGAAAGTCTCTGAGGGGAACTGAAGGACCAACTCTTTCCAAAGCTTTCTCTGCTTTCCTTGCCAACAATTCTAAGAGACCCTAACATGATCCCAAAAAGTTCTTGCCTTTTTTTAAGAAGGGATCTTCTTTTGAGTCTTTGGTCATTCCAGACAGAAGGTAATGAAATCTTGGGTTACCCTGCTGTGAGGCTTTGCAAAGTGAGTTAGGATGCTTCCCCATCTAAACCAAAGGACATGACAGCAGGTGTGTAAACCTGTGTTGTTTCTTCCTTGCTGTTTTGAAACAGCTCCCTCCAGCCTGCAGCCTCGTCTGTGTTGTTTGATATTGTTTCTGCCTGAAATATTCATAAAGCATTATGCTTAAAAATAAGGTTGATGAATGAGAAGAGACAGTTCTCCTAACAAAGTCATTGACAGAAAAGCCAAAGTGTTTTTGGTTTTTTTTTAATGTGTGGAAACTTGTCATTTGGCTGCTGCAAATTGGTCTCAGTAGCAAAAAAAAACCCCAAAAAATAAACCAAAACCAAACAAATAACAAAAAAAAAAAAAAAAAAAAAAAAAAAAAAAAAACCTCACAAAACCAAAACCAAAAAACAACAGCAACAAAAAAAAACAAACCAGACAAAAATAGAGTAGTAGATGGCACTGAAGAAGAAAGTGTCCCAGCAAATCGATCATTTGTGGAGGCATATAGTTAAAGCTTTGTGGATTCCTCACTCAGTTGTAATGAGGGAACAAAGACTGTCTTGGAACTTAGGGAGCTCATTTGCTTATAAAAGACCTGTCTTGTAGGTGACAGATCTCTTACTGCCTACCAGGTGTCCCTGCTTGATACCACACCCTGGTCTAGAAAAATGACACTCTCCTTTGAGATGCACCAGCATCTTGAGATCCACTGCCATCTCAATTGTGCAAGTGACCTCATTCGACTAAAAAAAGTCTGATTGCCAACTAGTTTAACCTGTTGCATCCCAGGATCCTGTTTAGCCAAAAAATTAGTCACATCTTTATTGCCAGGTAAGACAAATAAATGTATGCTATTGTTGGTTTTGTATCTCTTGCAGACAAACAAAGCAGTAGCCAAGGGGGATTTCCACCACGCAAGCTCCAGCTCCCGGCGAGCTCTCTTCCTGGCTGTCCTTTCCATCACAATCGGAACTGGCATCTACGTCGGGGTAGCTGTGGCTCTTATTGCCTACCTGTCAAAAAACAACCATCTATGAGTCTCAGGAAAGGGGGAGGAACCACCCGGCTCCTGCACTGCAGAAGTTCCCAGCACATCAGTCTGCATGGTTTTCCAAAAAGAGACAAACAATTTCTGGGGGCACATATAGGATGAGATGGACTTGTGTATTGTTGTAGGGTGGGAAGCTGGAGGGGCTGGGGGAAGTTCCAAGTTTGTGATGCACAAGTCTTGCTTATCTTCATCAACTCCTGTACAAAAAAGGGAAAGAAAGAGCAAAAGAGAGACAAAGAATGAAAAAATGAAAAAAATAAAAGGAAGGAAGACAGGGAATGTGTGGAGAAGGGTGTTCTGCCTTTGCCTTCTTTTCAATATGGTGTTTACAAGCATCTGGCAAACTGAGCTGTTCTCTTAATAACTTCTTGGTCGCGTGAACTTTGCACCCAGCATGAGCTTGTGCTTAATTTGCTTATTAAGCACGGCACTGAGATCTGGGAAAGCATGGATAGCAACTGGTTCTCTGAAAGAGCAATATAAAAACAAAAGAAAGAACGTGGCTTGTTTTATCTTTTGAATGCAGGACTCATTTGCTAAGAGTGAACTAGACATAGACAATTCAGAGTAGAGTTGTATTGCCTACTTTTCTTGTTGGGGGTAGGTTTCCATGGAAGGAGAAAAGGAAATTAAAAACATTTTTACTTCCTTTCCTTCTTTTTTATTAAGGTATGCCCCACAGGCCCACTCAGTGAAGGACAGCTGAGGTTAGAACTGCATGACTTGGCTCTGCAGACGGAGTGCAATTTTGAAGTAATGTGAGACCCGTTGTAAAATTAATTCCTCCATCCAGTCGCATTGTGATAACAGCACCTTACTGTGGCATTATTGCTCATCTGGGCTGCTCCACCTTGCTGTGGAGACCTGCACAGCAATCAGTGCAAGAAATCTGTGGAAAAATGCAAACTGAAATACTAATAAGTTTTAAATTAAAAAAAAATCATGGTAAAGCATGGGGATTAACCAGAGAAAGGAATGCTTCATACATTTCTGGGGTCCTGCTCATACACAGACCAGTGAATATGACACAGATCAGAAGCTCACAGCTCACCTGTGCATCAGGGACACAGCATAGCCATGGAGACAAGTCTGTTCCCCAATAAGCAGAGCAGTGGTAAATTGTAGGGGAATTGAGCCTTGACCTTACTTCACTGACTGAAATGATACATTTATTTTCTTCTTTACTTGCTCCCCACACTCAACTGGTTTTTTTGTCTTACCATTTTGTCCCACCCCCAGGGTGTATCAGCATAGACATATATATGTAGCTACATATATATATACACAGAGAGGGGAAAACCGATCAAATCAATTATCATTTTATTATTCAATTGCCTCACATGGTTTCTTTAAACAAGGATGTCATCAAAGACCTTTTCCTCCAACTCTGTATTTGCGTCATCTTTGCTCTGGGATAGATTTTTTCCCTTATTTTGGGTTTCCATTATTTTGGTTTGAATTTGACTTCTTTTGTTTTGGGGGGAGCAGAGAACAAACACAAGCAAACCTATTTTTCTGGTACTGTTTATTAAAACACATGGTATAAAGGCACTGGTGCTTTGTGTGACACTTTTTCAGGGTGGATGTGATGCATTAAACTGAGTGAAACTTGGCCCCAGACACCCAGTCCAGCTACCTCAATAGGTGCTTGTATGGACCATGTAATGATGGCCCTGGACCCAAAAGCCTGTTGTAGTCACTGACAGGGTTTTGGCATTGCATTCACAGAAGCAGAGAATTTCAGTGGGACATTAATGATTAAAAATCATTCCGATCTAAACCCCCTTGCCAAAGATAGGGATTCCATCTATATTGGATGGCAAATTGTTGGGCTGCAAGCTAAGCCTGGAGACTGGCAATGCACTCCTAGTTCCTTCTGCTTATGTATTATGCATGATTTGTGGGAAATCAGTCAGTCTTTCTCATAGAGCCTGAGCTTTGGAGTATGTGGTATTGAATAAAAAAAACACTGATTATTTGCTTAAAGGGAAATGAAGTAGTATTTCCTAGTCTTGGTTTGAAGTTTACCTGGAGTTCAAAAAAATTAGAAAGCAAATACAAGTACTGTAAGGTCATTAAGCAAGCCTAACGACAATGATAGTAATGTAATTTTAAAACCAACCTTATGGTTGAGGAGTCTGCCTTTCGATCTTTGGTGATTGTGCTGGCTGAATATTAACCTGAGAGGCAAAAGCCAACTCTGGAGCTAGAAAAACTTTCCCACAAAGGCGGCCTTAAAAATACCATAGAAGCCCATGCACCCAGGTTTAAAAATAGCGTTCCAAACACAGAGAGTTCAACTTTCCATGTCCCCAGGACCCCCTAGTGAACAGCAAACAGGAACAGCAGCATTGTGTGAAAGACCTGCATAGCAGGAGCACTCCTGGAAACATCACCTGGCTGAAAGCTGATGCTCTTGTGTTTCATGTCCTGAAGCAATCCATAGTGTTACATGGAGCTGGCACTTAGAATGGCAGTCCAGGATGATGACCAAGGAAGCTAAAGGGAGCTGGCATGCTGGAGAGGTGGACCTGGGCCTCACTGCAGATGAGACTGGGGATAAAGCTTCCAGCGATTGTTTTTGTGTCTTAGTAGGGGTCCAGTTTGCTGATTGTATGAGCTGTGGGTCACTGAGGAGCTGAACAGGGACCTGTGTCTTTCTAAGAAAAGTGATGTTGTCATGGCCTGCTGCAACATCTCTGGTTGGCAGAGCAGATGCAATCATCTAAACATCTAAAATCCTCTAAGTCAATGGCATGAAGACTAGAAACTGCCACCAACACCCCCTTTCTCTTAGAAAGCACCGGTTTATCCCACGTAGTCATTCTCTCCTCATCCTTGGGGAACAGCAGGAATGGTCCATATGCAGTGAGCTCCTGTGTTTGGATACAGGGACATCTTTAGTTTACAATAGATCTCTGCCATCCCAGAGAGAGGAGACAAGCCTTTCTGAAGTGAGACTTTTTTCCCATATTGGCTCAATGAAGATTTGTTAGAGAAATGGCACTGGTGTCTTTAACCAGATGACAAGCTGTAGTGAAACCTAAAATCAGCTGCAAGGAAAAATCCCAAATTGTAAAATCCAGAGTCAAAAAGCTCCAATTTAATTGTATAATGTAGGATGTCATTGTGGATTGACCTCAAAAGATACATGAGGAGCACTGGAGACTCACTGAGAGGGAAGAAAAATATCCTTCTTTGTGAAAGTCTCACAGTTCAGGGAACAGAGACACTCAGAAAATAATCTGCTGGGTCAGAGACTAATATTGCATCTGTCATCTAACAGGATTTCATAACTCCCTGGTACCTCCATTGATTTTTCGTGCCTTCATTTGGGAATCTCTTAGCCTTGAGCATTTTTGTAGCTCAGTCTGAAATTAATTTCTCCCATCATCCAGGCAATTCCCACCACAGACTCAGCTTGCAAGAGCTCCCTGCTGAGGAAACAAGAGGGTGTAGCTTGGGAACATCACTGTACACCAAGGCTGGAACAGCAGAGGCTGTGACAGCCACCTTCACTGGGCTGGCTGCTACACACCTCACACTTTGGGAAAGGACACCTGATGGCTTGCAAAGGAAATTCAAAGGCAGCCAAAAATGCAACACAATTAAGTGCCTATGAACTTTACTGTAAGGACGATATGAGAAAGGGCACAAAGAGAGAGTGTCCTGTGTTTTAGATACCAGGGAACATTCACTCAGGCTGCTGAAAGCCCCAGCCAGTGGTGGAACCTCAGTCAGAGGGCACAATAGGCCATGTCTGCTGAGGAAGTGACTCCAATCTCAGACATCATTACACTTTTCTGAGCAAGGCAAGAATACAGGACGGCAATATGCAGAAGGGCTGCACCTGAGAGATTTCTTTAGGGCAAGATGCAATATAAATATCTATTCTTGTCTTAGAGAGCTTCAAATCCAAGATAGGAGGCAGAGGTGGAGATGGGCGACAAGAACAGTGTCAGTTTTCTTGATTAAACCAACCTGGCCCGTTTCAGCACCTTGCACCATCATCTCTCAGTTTCACCCAGCACAAAGGATGCTCTTTGCTGGCTTCATGGCTTTGCTCACAGATACTGCTCTAGTGACACACTCAACAAAGCATGATCAGGCAATCAGGTCACCAAAGCACATGGTCCTGCTCCCCTTGTGCAAAAAAGAACATTGGGTTTTGCTCCAGACATTGTGACATGACTCAGTGCTGCAGACATCAGGATCACAGCGGTGCCAAAGGAATGAGAGCAGGAGGTGCCAACACTGTTACAAGCTTAAGGTTGTGTGGTGAGCACAACATATGTCTGCTATTTACTAATCATGAGGCAGCTCTGAAGAACCTGCTCCAAGCAACTGTCAGAAGGTGGGTGGTGCTCCTTCGTGCCATCACATTTCCCTCTTTGGACATGTCCAAGTGTACTTAAAATCAGGTGATCTACACTTGAGGATCTGCAGGAGGATGCAAAGAGGATGAAAAAGTTCTGTCAGAGAGATGTTATGAGGTGGGAAGTAGGAGAGAATCTATAGTTTCCTACATCCAATTTATGAATGCACACAGCCAGAGTGGCTGGGAAGAAAGCCACCTTCTCTTGGCTGAAAACTCAGTGTTGCTTTGGTCAAAACCCTCCCTCTAAAGAATTTTCTTGCAAGTAACAGACTGAGCTTGAGCAGAGGAAAAGCATCTGAAGTGTTGCATCAGATGGGTTACAGTAGCCGTCCCTCCCCAAATTTGTTTGCATACAAATTCTATTTGTCCTTCCAGAACACTCAATGGTGTTTCAGACTCCCCTTTCAGACTCCTGCTTTCTTGGCGCTCTATAGGTAGAGATACACATCCACACATTTACATGCATATATACAGGTACTTGTAGACATACATATCCATACTCACATACAGGCATATGTGAAACACTGAAAGGGAAAGGGAAATCAATTTTGTTCTCAATCAAGGAGCAGGCTGCAATTTCAGCAATAAAAATAACAAGAATGCTGCTCAATAATCA